CTGTATATACCAATACTAAGTTGAAAAAAGAAGATATAGAAAGAAAAAAATGTTAAGCACTTCTCCCTTGGTAATGTAAATATTGAGAGTTCAACTCCTAAAAGCACCAAGCCGCTCATTCCGAACCCAAGAATAGTGTTCTCGCCACATGAGTGGATCTGCCGTTTAATGTGTTAATGTTGAAATCCTTTCCATTTCATTACCCTTGACACGAGCTAAGGATAGTAAACTCCTTCCTAGATCTTTCGATTAGGTGGAATCCTTGCCATGAATTTAATTTTCAGTCCGTTTCTATTGACTGCCGTTGAGATCCTCAATATACTAAAATAAACGTGTGCAAATTCTTTGCTTAGGCGCGGTGCATCGACTGACACCATTGTGTTTTCTTTTTTGATCCTTAAAGAAAGTACAATTTTTCATTAAGAAATCATAATGAAATTTAAGATGGGTGTTTTGGATAGTCATATTTCAAAAAAGAAAAGTGGCACTGCAATTTTATTTTCTGGGCGCAGCCATCTTTCAAGTGATATAGCTGTACCTGTGTCCAGAGATTTATCTCTTGACCCCGGCAGACGATTTACAGAAGATTAGCAATGTAATAGTACAAGTGGCTATCTCATTGTATACGGCCTGGGTTTTGCGGGGGAATAGCCGCAGGGTGCAGCTGAACCGTAAGATCGATTAGATACATATGACGTTTGCTGCAAGAACATAACACAGCGACACCTCGTGGGTTAAAGAGTATGTACTTTGGCGCCGTTTTGTTGTCAATACAAACATGGCTACACCTGGTGTGTGTCCAGTTCGTTGCAAATTTCGTTAGCTGTGTGTAATGGTCGTCTGCTCATTGCCGGGGGCTTGCCGGCCGGCACGGGGTTCAAAATGACCCAAGGCTTGACCGAAAATTTATACGACACGCGCGTGAAATTACATGAAAGAAGATTCAATTTAGCCTTTCACCTGTTGGGGTTTATTTAACTCTATGATACGACGCATTGGCCATCTGGTTTATTGCATATGTATCAAGTAAAACATTGAGAAGAGCTAAGGAACTTAAAATAGAAAAAAATATTCAACCTGCATGACGTGCAAATACGCACTTTTTAAGTACGTTTGTGCTGTAAAGTAGATTGTTGGATTAGGCCAACGTAGATTTTTCATCCATTATTCATCCTTTATTTTGAGAAATTTTCATACGTACTTTTGATATTTTAAACCCTAAGGATGCTCAAATTGCTACAAGCCCAGGCTCCTGTCTCTACATAGGTTTTCTCTTTAGAAGAAAAATACTGACATGAAAAAAGAGAAATATTCAAAATGGTCACAAACAGCCACAAACTAATCTGCCGTTAAATTTGTTTTTGAAGACGCCGTTCATAGGAAACAGGTCTGCTTTTGTATTTTGTTTGAGTTCTGTTTCAACAGCTTTCAGAGAAGGTAGTAATACAAATCCAAGACTATAAGTAGGATGTTTTTGCATAACACTGTGATTTTAAAACTTAAGACCGTGCATGAAAATAATAGCGTGGATTGGGAGGACAAAGGGTCTTTTGGAATGATCACGTTATTGTAACATGTCAGTTGACAGCGATATCTAAATATCAATAATCATAGTTTATATGTATATTTAAACAAAACTGTGATACCACTAACAATCGCACACACGCTTGTTGAAAATATAAGTTTAGAGTCACGCAGCCCTATCCGTTATAATGTGATTTTCAGAATAGATTTTCCACTTCACTGAAATCAAGAAAAAAATACTTGTATTCAGTCAGTGACGAATAGTCAAATTAACCAGTGGAGCTGGGTTTCAGTAGTTCACGTTTAAATATTACGGAGTTATAACGGTTCAAAGTGAGGCAACTGCATCATGAATCTGTGTCCAGTGTTTGACATTGCAGCATCGGCAACAGTCTGTTCACATGGATGAAAAATAATTACTTTAATCGTGCACAGCGATGTCTCTTTGATCGTTAATTTCCGAGACCAAATAACCCTTGACTATAATCCAGTGAGTCACTTCAACCTATCACAGATTTAGCCCAAATTCGATTTTGGTTAACGTGTCAAGTTTTTGGTCTGATGCACCGAATATATATAACAATATTGGCTTTGTTATCTCTAGTTTTATTAAACTCAAATATATATTGACCTTTATATTCTTTAAGCAAGATTTTTCATCATTAATATGGTAAAATGTACTGAAGAAATGACCTTGGAAGCAGGAGCAAGCAGGTTGATACTGAATAAAATGAAGAATACAGATCGGTACAAACTCTTCTTCAGGAACGGATTTGAAATCCGCCCTGTTTGAACGTCATATTTATATATATATTGCGATTCTTCAGCCACCGTCTTCTGCTTCTTCCCTAAACTGGAGGTTCTTACTCAACTCTTGAAATGTCAGCTGGAAAAATTAACTAATATAACATGTAAGTTGTGTAACTTTTCACCTGTAGTGATTGTAGGGCACTAGACGTAACACATTGGTGGATAACTTGTTTATTGAACAGAGCACTCATTCCATGTTCTTACATTCTGATTAGTCAGGAAATTTGTGCTGGAATTCTGATTAGTCAGGTAATTTGTGTTGGAATACTAAAGATTCGAGTCCATTATATTAACTGAACCTGATACGGCTTTTCTGTTACCAAAGCTGCAAAGAATAACAATGTCCGCATCTTCCTTCTAGAGCTAAAATAAAATTCAGTATGTCGTCCTATTTAACTTTTTTTTGTAAATAATATTCTACATCAAAATTGTGACTTGACTTAAAAACATAAATGAGAGCGCTGTAGCTTTTATAAAGAAAGTCAAAAATACGAAATATTAATTTTTTACGTCTAGGTATGAAAATAACTGGGCATCAGGAGTACAGTAGCATAGAATTATGGATTGCGATAGTTGAGAAACACGTGAATGCTACTGCAGAACAATAAAATAATGACTACACAGTAGGCTGACAGTAGGTTATCAAATTAAACTGACAATCTTTACATATTTTTGCACTCTTCAAATTATTCGAACTATCGCTTCCCAGAGTATTTATTATTCAATTGTATGTAACGTAAAAAAATCATGCATTATTGAATGTTAACCTAGAAATGTTAATAGCAAGTCAAGCACGTTTAAGGTCCATGCTGTTTTAATTAACTTCGACGTAGCATTTGCTTAAATGGGAATATAACGTCAAAATTAGACCCCATTCCCATAGATTTTAGATCGATCTATCCCTGTGGGGAGTCTCACTAGATTACTGTCAGCTTATCCGGCTTAAGCGTCTGTCACGCCTACTTAAAGCTGTAAGGGGGTTATTAACTATGGTGCACGCTCGGCTGACGGCAATTTAGCGTGAACCCCCAGGGAGTTAGGTAGATCTAAATTTTAATCTCTGGATCGATCTAAATCTCTGGGAATGCACCCTTAAACATTTGCCTTCAATCATTTTTCTCTCAACTTTTGTCAATGGGGTACACACGTCATCACCCTAAGACACTATTAAATAAAATAAAATTTGACAAATATTGAACAAGTCTGTCACTATTTTCAATTGAATTCCGATAAATCTAAACAAACACTCGGCAATCACCCTGCTGGTGATGCTATTATGCCCATAAGAACCTTGTGTATACCCCTATTGTTAATATGTTCCGTCTGAGGCTCCACCCGGTGCGTGGGTTATGCGTACAGGCGATTTTTACCCTCCTCTATGCACCGGGTGGCATTCATTTAGGTTTGTACAAAGTTAATGGGAATTTTAAAGCCCCCCCTCCCCTTCCCTCCTCTTAGATGGCAATATCAATCAGTAGCTCTCTCTCCGTCCTAGTATCTTCTTGCCTATACCTCAGTCTGTGTGTTATCCGAGTATCCATCCAGGGTGATCAGCTGGGCAAAGGGGGTCGTGGTGGTGCACTACAAATAATACAGTAAATTATCAGCGGTCAGATAAAGTGATATATTAATGGATCTAAATTCAACGTACGTGAAGTAGAATTTCATAATTCAGATAAGGCGATTAATATACTTTATCTTCCAAACAACAATCGATGCGTTTAAAATCGGTACATGTAGAAGTACTTCAATGATTACTTCTAGATTTATTTGAAATACGGAACATTCCCCAGCTGATTTTAATTTAGACCCTACACGAAAAAAAACAGGGATGTATAAAAGCAAACAAAAGGGGCTGAAAAGATCTCTGTTCAGACCTCTCAACAGTACTTGTGCTGTATCTAGGTGTGTGCAGACAGGAGTATTTTGGACTGGAAATTGGTCCAACTTGCGTCATAAGTTTCGAAGTGATTTCATTTTTTTTCTATCGGACTTATTTATTTGCAATTTTCGACTCTAACACACATTTCAACTGAATAAATTCTCTTTTGAACGCAGATGTAGCTACTGTTACAGGCGGTGGACTTACCTTCACCGCCGTGTCACCTGGAAGCACATCCTCGGAAGCGTCCTCGCCATCTTTAAGAGGCATCTTTCCCTTAATAAGCAGCTGTGCATTGGATTGGAATTCCTCCGAAAACGTGATCTGAAATAAAGACATTCCTCTAAATAGTGAAATAGACCCTTGCTTGTACTCACCAACACTGAGAGCAAGCAGCAAGGGTTGGTTAAAATTATTTTGGATATTTCACTTTCGGAAACACATCATTTACATCCGTAGCTATCCATGGATTTTTTTATTAGAAATTATCCAAGCAAGTATAAACAGAAGCACAATATAGGGGCATGACAGACACGCAAGCAATCATGATGTTATATTGTACCACTTTTGTATACTGTTACTTAATACATGTACTTTATACATGTACAGGTATTTGCTGAGAGTCGGGTTAAACGCCAAAGGGATAAATGATAATAAGAAATTCAACAAAAAAAGGCAAGCAAGGAATTTTGTCATGTCATCAAAACGGTACAGAAAAGCACCATGCATGATGCTGGTTCATACCAAATACCTTAATACCGTTTTATCTAAAACATTACACCCACTAAATACTTACGTGCTTTCTGAAGGCGTCAATCTTGGTCTTGTAAAATAATTCCAGAATAGAAATAATTATCCCCATCATCATCCCACAGAGTAGTATGATGAATATACCGGCGATTTTAGAAATGCTAAGAGACGAACTGGTGTCCTCTCCCTTGAAATTCATGGAAAAGAGAATAAAGAGAAAAGAGAATAATTAAATCTGGAATAATGACACCATTAATTTCAAGCCCCACGCACACTGTGATTTATGGGCTGTGCTACCAGATTCCTGAAGACTGGTGAAGAAAGGTGAAAACATACATGTACATGTAAAAGCCAAGATATGCAAAGAAAAATAAAACTAATTTCAACACACACGTTGAGCTGACGGTCGAAAACTGGTAGATGAGCTCAGAGTTCACAGTGTGCACCGGTGTTCAACCACGAGAGAGTCCCGTGTGATACAGGGCCCGGTTTCCATTTAAATTTGTACAGGTAAGGCCAAACTGTAAGTATTTCAACATCTGTAGGAATGCTCGAAACATTTACGATGTTCTGGTTCAAATGTGCAATGAATGCGATGAAAAATATCAACAAGTCGGTGGCGGCGTGTGGAGGGGGAGCAATAAATATTTTCTCTTGTCATGCGCCATTTTAACATCATGACAAAACTAGATCTAAACACGATAAGGGCTTTACAACTGTTCATACAGTGTGTAATGGAACCTTCCCATTGCTGACAGGCTTCCCTACAAACGTCTGGTTATCCCTGCCTACAAAAAGCACAAACATGACTTTATTATCTCTATCATCGTTTACACCTTGCTTAGCCTGCGTAGTGATCGTATTATGCCATACCTTTTTATTGGTATCCTGCCTGTCTTTACAAAGCCCTCTTCTACTGCTGTCCTCTTCCCACCAGTATTTTCGCCTCTCCTCAACGAATGCGGACTCCACTAGGGTTAGGAGCTGCAGTGTGACCACGTTCCTGGAAATACACGGACAATTCATGATACATGGTGGACAAGGCAATGGGTGTGGTGGGGGGGGGGGTCAGTAATTCCCCACCATAACTCTAAGGCAGAAATTGAAGTATACACAGTGAACATAAATCTACAGCATGAAGAATGTAACTTTTCTCCCTTTCAAGTGGGTTCATTGTGGGTTTCGATGCGCAATTCTGTGTATTGTAAAAGAAGGTAATGCTACGTAAAAGCCAATGATGGTGTATTTTCCAAAACTGCTGGAGACAAAAAAAAAATGCCGTTAGACTTGACACTTCTGTTTATCATTATTGCCTTGGGTCAAAATTCATTAACCAGGTATCTTACTTTTTACTAAATCCTTTGGGCATTCCGATACCATAACTTCTGGAATTCAGCAGATCCCCAACTCTGGTGGTGGTACAGTCCTCCCTGTTACTGTGATAGTCAATGCTGGTAGATTCCATGAGAAACGCAAATTTGTCGTTCTCGTCCCGGACCCTCCTGACCCCCTCCGCGTTGTTCTTGGGAAAGTTGTGTGGCCGGCTGCTCATGTACGCCCACATACGCTCGTATGTGCTGATTTTGGATTCCTGGAACGGAAACAAGATGTGGTACAGTTTACTTCTATGTGTACAAAGCTTTATATCGCTGAATTTGGAAAAACAACGCACAATATTATATGCCAGTATTTAAAAGCGTTAACCTTACACTGGACTGTGTATTTCTCTGTCTGTCTGTCTGCCAGCCTGATAATTGGTCCTTTCGCTGAACAGAAAGTTTACATGTAAATTGCAAGCTTTTTTAAAAGATGAATGTTTCGAGACATATAAAAGAAACTAATTCTTAATGAAGTACATTGCTATGATCATTATGTCACCATTTCCAGATTCATTCATTTAGATAGATAGATAGATAGATAGATAGATAGATACAGGTAGATAGATAGATAGATCGTCCCGGTACATGTTATATTAGATACGGAATCAACTGTACATGTACTAGTAGATAACAGAATGTGTATTACCCTGAAGAAGTCTCTGCTTGTTCCTTCCCGACTTGTCGCATAGGAGATCTCGGTTTGTGCTGCCAGGTCCTCCGCAGACCCTATGGGGCTGATCATTCTGGACGTGGTGAGAAATGCGGCTAGATTGGCCGTGTAGGAGGAGATGACGATCAGGGTGAAGAACCACCAAACTGAGCCCACAATGCGACCTGACACTGACCTGTCAATATAAAACCCAGCGATTTATCATTATTCAATTTGGCAATGTGAAGGAGTTGAAATAATAGCTAGAGTTTGTCGAAATAAGAAAAAGATATAGTGGCATATTAAATTACAACGTAGCTATATTCTATACCATAAAAATAGCAACATTTTACAGTGCTCATGTGTTATATGAAAAAACATGTGACAAATGCATCATGTGCAGGTCTGCATTTTGGTCAGATAATTTCAAGGTTGAAATTAAGCACAATAATAACCCACCTCGGACAAATTTCACATCCTTGCTGCATGAAGGCCGCCAAGGCGAACCACAAGCTGTTGTAAATGCCGAAGTCATTCCTGACACACGTCTTCTTTTTCCCGTCATCTTCCATGGGATCGTTGATCAACCATTCTGCGGGGCTGAACCGGCTCACAAGGAACAAAACCACGCTGACTCCCAGGTAGGCAAAAGCAATGCACATCCATATTTCCTTGGATAGCGGCACCATGAATATAAACATATCTGTAATATCGAACTGACTTCCGGGTGTTTTACGGATCATGATGCTTATGCCAAGGTTCATGAAAGGTTTTGTGAAGTCGATGACTTTTTCGCGCTCGGCGCTGATGGTCAAGTCACCGATGGCCATATCTGCTCTCTGAAATATATAGAAGTTGGTGTATTTTGACAAGCTAGAGGTTTTTGTACTCGCACGTGCCCCGTGCATGTTCCTTCCAAAACCCAGTCGCATAAAACAAAATGAGCAGTTATGTAAAGAAACAATTGATACATACATGTACTATATGTGCATGTAGTACCGTCACGTAAAGCTGCACATTTGGAGAGTTTTGACATAAAATTGAACAAACCAGCAGATGTCATCCAAAACACAAAGGGGCCCTATCGCGATATCACCAAGCTAATCTAATTTTATGCTGATACTCCTGATGGTGTCCATTTGCAAAAGTTTTCAAAGAATTCGGTGGTTAACAAAGGCTTCTGGGAGTCGGTTGCACAAAATAACTTTAGACGGAAACTTGATTTTAACTCTAAGACCAAAACTGTGCTCTATTTCAGCCCAGGATAAATAAGTAGTAGTCAACTAAAATAAGGTAACTGTTGATCTTAAACATTACTGATATATTTTCTGTTACAATGTGACACAATTTTTCATTAAACTAAACTCCCACTGACTTATCTGAGCTCGAATGACACTGCGGGTTTGTTTTAACAAACCAACTTAAAGAAAAACCAACTTCTTGTTTGAAGTGATTTTGTAGCACATGTCCCTGGTTGTCTTATACCGCGAGTTACAGTTAGCACCGTCTCCGGTCCAAGGTTGTCCTTGTCTGCACTGACCTCTGTCATCAGCTCCCACACCATCCCGTTCCATGGGTGGGTCACGTTTCCCTTTTGTTTGCTCCCGTGTGAACCGTCGGCCACCACTCGTAATTCATAATTCATGTTTAAATCACGCATCAGCTGGTCAATGATGTCTTTGCAGAAGCCTTCGTATCTGTCATTCCCCGTCCAGTTACCGCCGTCTGGGCGAGGGTGAATCTTCTCCATCATGTAAGGGTCTCTCTGGGATAGCATACATATTTTAAGATTAGAAAGTTATTTACAGTGTTTGTGATTGCTACACATCATGCATATATATACTTAATGCTGTGTCGTATAGAGTAAACGAGTATATCAATCGCTATTTTACACATATATTGCAAACATTTGTGATTCTCCTTAAAGCAGCTTGAACCTTGGCGAGAAAATCAGTTTGGGTACATAATTAAATAAAATGACGTAAAACAAAAATAAAAATAATGTTTATCTGAATGTCTGAATGTCTGCCGGTTTTACAATTTTCTTGATCAAGAATAAGATAAGAGCTCAAAGTGCATTTTGTAACTCACCAATATAGTCGTAACAATGTACGTTTTGTTGTCAGGATCTACATTTAGCAGTCCGACTGATTTGGTGTCGTGTATAAGATTAAGGCGTGGTCGATTCAAGCGCCGCGGATGAGACTCCCAAGTTCCCAACTGCAAATAAAAATTACAAAGATGTGAAAATGTCATCCGATGAGGTGCCATTTGAATTGCTCTTAAGTTATTACAGTGAGTCCAAGCTTCCATCAACTGGTCTTGTCAGTGGCAAGGAGTTGCAAAGCAGTGAACTATGAAGCTCAGGCAGGTACCAATAAGTCTAAAAAGACCAAGCTATCATTTCACAAAGAATCTTATTTCCGTAGTTGACTTAGCTGGGCTAAGTGACCTAGATAGGTCAACTACATTGTAGCCGACTCGGAGTGTTTAGACCAATTTGGGTATTACTGTTTTGTGAAACAAGCCCTTCGTGCTAAATTTTGATTTGGAAAAGGGTAATTGCTACCCCCACGACCTTTGTTTGACAGAACTGTTAACTTGAATATGACCTAGTATTATATTAGTATGGTAAAGTGTATGGTATTTTGTATAATAACTCACCTTTGCTGGACCCTCCTGTGACGTTGTTCCAAAAAGATAAAGGGTGAAGTTTATTCGGTATCCGTCTTCATCAAATAATATTTTTCCTGTCAATCCGTCCAGCTCCACCTACGACAAAAGTAGACAAAATTTGGCAATTAATAGTATTATCTATAAAAAAATTTTCTACCTTTGTCAAAGCTTTTTTACAGGTGACGAAAAAAGTTAAACACAGTGTTTAGTTTACCTTTTTCAAAGCGCCTATCAATTTCTCCCCGTATATCCATGGTTTTGGGGCATTGGGCCACTCTGCACATGCTAGGCCGCCGCTATTCTTGGGATACGGGTTATTGGTGGGAAAGTTGGAAGAACCGTTTTTATGTAACAAGTCCATGGCTTTGATGAAAACTGTCAGAGAGTCGGCCGCAAATGCTGCTCCGTTCTGAAATATTTATTAGAATATTCCTTAGTTGTGACTGAAGTAAGAGGGCATTCTGTGAAAGATGTGTTTTTCGTTTGCACGAAAAATTAGTTGATATATGAGAAAACAGAGTTGGCATTGTTATGTAGCAACCAGGAGGTCAATATAAATCAAGGATTTTCTTTCTTTTAGGTACACTTTACATTTCTTATTTAGACCACTACTTCCCTATTACTTTGTGCACCAAATTACATTCTGCACCCAAAAGGAACATTTAAAGAATCTCTCCTAGGCTGCACCGTTAGTTTAATTTTTCTTTTAGGCACTACATCATGTACTGTAGACTATTCGAACAACAATTGCAATCGTTGGGAAAACATACTGAGGTAGGACAGGTGTTGTCAAACGATCCGCACTTCAGGTCGCATCTCCTGTAGACCTGATTATATTTTTTTACTGTGACATCGGTGTCATAATCCACCATGTGAAAGCCAGTGATGTTCATGCCTCCAGCCGGGAATGCTTTGAAATCGATCTCGTTTGTAAACTGAAATCATGAAACATTGTGCATGTAGAAGTCTTATTGTTACCATTTTTGTTAGTAGCATCATTATAATTTTGCATTGCTGTAGACTTTTGATTTGACGTGAATGTTAGACCGTGTTAAAGGGATAAAAACTCTTGATTTTGACGGGAAAAGTGCCATAAAACAGATTTTCTTGGGGTAAGCGAGGATTTTCTCATACTTACCGATGGTTAACGAATCCGTTCCAACATTGAAAGTTAGTCAATTTTATTTTTGTATTAATCTCTTAAGAGATTGCAAGCACAGGTTTCAGTATAATTGTGATAACCGTAATGGTAGTAAAATGGATTTTTTTTATTTCTATGTGTGTTTCTACAATGTATTTGTTGTGGAATTTTGAATCTCATGTGGACAGTGATTATCCCTTGTATATGCACAAATATGAAGCAAAAAAATGCCATAATCGAAAATACATGGCCAAAAAGAATGTTCATTGGCTAGTTAATCAGTATACATATAAGGACAAAAAACGAGCTTTAACTCAACATGTTCTACAGTAAGCTACATGGTTTTATCAGTGGTGAACATTTCTCACGCACATCGTATAGAAACTGCAAATAACAGCTGAGATAAGAAGGACTGTTCAGCAGTATTTGTATGGCTATCTTATCCAATGTTAGCTGTTACTAAAAAAAATGGATTCTTTAAAAAAACTTCTGGATTCAAAAATAATTTACTTACCAATCTTGCTATCAAATAGTTATACAGCAGCTTGGTCTGCGGTGTTTCTGTAAACTAATAAGAGAGTCATTACCTCCTGCTCCTCATTAAATAAGTACCAAAGATGATCAGTAAAATGTTCAGAGAAAGAAATAATTACGGTGACCGCATATTTGTATACGGTTGCATCTTCAGCAAAGAAGGCTAATGGTTGCGTAAAAGTAATTGGGCTTGCTAAATGGTGTATAGTTTGTGTACATATTTCAATGGTATTACCTTATGAATGTACAGTATTCATACATAGCTGGTGTTATGATTTTGTAACAGTATAACAAAAACGCTACCCTCGTCTGTCTTAAGTTGACCACACATGCTGATATTGGCAAAATCAATAGTGATGTGATACACTTTGAATGCAGATCTTTAGACTAAAACATAAAATAGAAAGGAAAATTATTTTTGAAACTCTATGAAGACAATTTAGTCTTTCGCCAGAATGTGCACAAGGCCCATGTATATAGCATTGTCAGATGGCCCGAAGCAATTCACACATGAACTTACCCGCCTTTTTAGTACGGTGTTAGTGTCGTTTAGTGACATGTCAATTATGACATTGTGTTTCTTTTCGGACCCTGTCTTGTCCATGGCGGCTAACTTGGCCAAAGCGTCCGTCACGTTGGTGACGTACTTAAAATGGATGACGACATAGGCACCGGCGTTATTTATTGCGCCCACCACGTGGTACATTCGAGCCAGCCCTGTGGAAGAGAATAAAGTACTCGTATGATGACTCTCTCTCTCTCATTTTACATCCGAAGTGGAATATTGTGTACATGGTTATTTCCAAAGACATACTCAGTTATCTTTAGTTAACACTCACAATTTTCCTGATTGCGATAACTAACACAACTTTTCAATTTTTGTGTCACTAAAAACTTTTTAGTACAGAGGAAAATGGGGAAAAATACATATTTTTAACCAGCACAAGTTAGTCTAAAAAGCCATTTCAAGTTTTATTGAAACACAATACAGGACGTTCACAAACCTTCTTTATTTGAATCGTAGATGTAGGTGACCGATTTCCAGCGTCTTAAAAGAATGTAATCAACCAGCGCCTGCGCATAACGTGGCTGCATATGAATCATGTAATCACCATGTGGTCTGTACGAGATCTCGGGAGAAGTGGGCGTGATATAGGGGATGTGATACAGACCGGTCGTTGAAGCCACAAAATCGGCTGTGAAAGTGTCGTAGATGCCAAATATGGCAAAAACTTTCCACTGCAGTGTGTTACAAACTGAAATCAAATTGACAGTCCTTAAGGTCTATTCAAGCTGGACATGTCAACGGTTATCATGTCTCTATGTTAAAAATAAGGTGTGCGTAAATGATCATGTTGCAAAACTTCTGTTGAATATCAATGCTACAAAGTTATTTTTATCTTGCACGTGTCATACAGTGTATGTCACTTTACAGAGCGCGAACGCCCACAATTGCGTTCCTTTGGACTAACAGACATTACATCATCGATCAGCTTAATATGTTGTTAATGATAAAATAGGCAATCATGCAATTTTCACATTCCAGACATGCAGCTGGTCTTTAAAATCCTTAAACCTATTACACTTTTTAACTTCTGTCTTGTATCCTTATTTGCTGTTACATGCCTTGTCCATTAAGATACAGTGTGCTTTCTTGTCCTTAACCTATGTTAAATGTAACAGCATTGGAATTCTCTGTCAAACCAAATTCAATTTATAGTCATGGGTACGGTTAATTTTAACTCTAATTCACTCAACAGTCCTGTTGTTCAGCCCACTCGCATAGTCAACTACTATTCATACAGTTCCATAGGGACAAAGTGGTTTTGGATCCTTGTAAGATATACACAGGTAAGTGATGTGATTAAGAAAACCCAAGTCACAGAGGTATTAAAGCTCAAGATGTTTTGTCTTTAAACTGGCACACTGAAGTCCGACCCTTCTCAGTTGGCTGTCTGAGTGAGATGAGGTAGCCCTGGGAAGCCAGTCCTTTGGTTTACCAGTGTGACAGGAATGGTAGACCGCTAGGCACCGTAGTCTGTTCACCATGGCTTTATACAGGTGACATTCGTCCCATATATTAAACCCAATACTCCCACTAACCCTAACCTGTACTACTATTCATATTGGACTCCGGAGTTCCATTCTTAGGACTACTATTCCTGTCACATCGGGTACAGTGTACAACCTACCTTATTTACTGTGGCAGTAGATGAAAAAATGAAAACAATAGAAATCCATGTTATACACACACTGGACAATAGAAGTGTCACCCCCTGAATCACAGTAAGTTATAATGCCTGGTCTACTTATAATGTGACTAATGAGTACAAAACCGCTGTACCATGGAATTGTATTGTTGTTGTTTTTTTGTGAAATTTGATGTAAATAAAATAATACCAGGAGCATATCATTCCACAGTCATTTATCTCCCCCAAAGTATTGGTTCAGTAGGGGTGACACTTCTACATGTATTGTACAGTGTGTGTATGCTTCGCTAATAGTCATCAGATTTCTGAGAAAGGACGACCCTTTTATGTGAAAATAATCCCTAAAGACTTACTTACTGGTGTAATTGTAGTCAAAGTTGTTTCCAATGTTTATGAAATTTAGAGAGTGTGTATAGGAAAATTTGAACCTATAATTGGTATAATTTCTTCCTTCAATGAATCCCTGAGCATTGTGCCGACAGAGAGTTCCTAAATATGCATATCGATACGCCAGTTCTATATCCCCATGTCTAGGTGCAGTATTAGATAGAATGAGACCTGAAAGGAAATAGATAGAAAGAATAAAATATTCCATATCACTGATCAATCTGACTTTGGGTCTTTTCATTTTGTTAATCTATGTAGTTTAATGTAGATTTATGTTATCGGTATACATATTTACTTAAATCATAAACGGAATTAACAAAAGAAATTTGAAGAAGCGTTTAAAGTTATTTCCGAGTGGAAAAATAGTTGCTGTAAAAAGCAAACTATTGTAATAATGACGGGCTTTTGCTGAAAGTGAAACAGGGATCTCGCAGTAAGTTGGCCTTTGCTCACTGTAACATGATATAACTATATATAACTATATATATATATATATATATATATATATAATAGCTATTGCAAAACATATAATATACAGTGTAATATCCAAATTGCACAATGTTTTCGTTATTCACGCTCTTATTTTAATACATGTACTTAGTTATCCTTCAAAGTGACTGAGTCATTTAAAAATCTGATATACGTTTGTATATTATTTAATTGCACAACGTGATCCACGTTCTTATTTCAATACTGGTACACGTAGGCCTGCACAGTGATTATTGAACGTGAATAAGGCACTTAAAAAATGTGATATTTGTTTATATCGTTTGATTGTTCCACATTTTATGCCAGCTTTGTTTCGAATGGCCCCTGGCGACAATACGGCGCAAAATTTACATATAACTAATAGTGAATCGGCAAAGGTCTAATCAAAACCTAATGCATTATCCGCTAGGGAACTATCATTGTTTGTGAACACACGCCGAAATGTCGACTTAGGGCCCAGAGAGGATAAAAATGAGGGGCTATGAACACTTTATGCCATTTCGACCAGGGAAGGGGGAGTGTTAATTTAATAACACTGTGCTAATGGTATTTGTATCTGGTAGAATCTTTAAGTTTAGTCTTATAAAGCCGGCTTACAGGTTTGGCCATATGGCGGTGACGTAAAAGTTAAATTTGGACGGGGGGTACAAAGTAAAATCCTTCAAACGTCTTAATTACGTCAGATCACTATATTGCAAGTAATACGGTTACTTGGTGGTTAATAAGAGTGGAACCGTTTTGGGTTGGAAAAAATTAAGCTATGTAACGAATTACATCATACCAGTCTGCATGGTCTTAATTGTCTGCATGAACATGGCGAAATAAACTATCAATTGCTATCATAAAATAGCTATCAAGTGTAATTGCTTCGTCACTGACCACTGAGAAAACATACAATATTAATGCTTCAGATATAAGAGCAGACATTGTCACTCTTCTTATTCCCTTGACATAATTTAATCTGCAACTGCACACGCCAACGACAGAAACAACAGTGCACACTTAACTTAACATTCTGCTCATATTTGTCAAACAGGTTATTCACTCGTAACGACTTTAGCTGCACTACTCAAGTCATTTGTTCCACTTTCCTAACTTAAAAATTGTTTGATAGTTATTGCTTAAGTTAGACAGATAAATGGCATTGTGGAATCTGTCACATTAAAACAGAGAAAAATGCACCTGTCTCTAGTTTACCAAATAGCCCATGCTTTTAAGCTGGAGTGTATTTAACACCGTTTGCAGCACGCGGACAGGAAGGCATTACTCAAACCGCATTTCCTGAATATTTGATTTAATAATATTCCAGCTCTGGGATTGCAATAATATATTAGTTAGAGACTTGCAAGACTTTCAATCGTGCAAATGATGGTCAACGACGTCAAAAAAGGAAGGTTAAAAGTAGAGATGTATCTGTAATGTTGTTGTTTTGATTTCTCTAAAAATTCTACTGAAAAAAAAACCTGTATGCCGAATAAAGTAATATTTGGCAATTGCATTTCGCTTGACAGAAGCATTCCCGTCACCAGCAAAAAAAGAATTAAAAAACAAAAATATAAAATAAAGACAGACAAAACTGAGAAGTTTGATAACGTGCGCAACCGACCCCAACTTTATGGAAATCGGATATCTTCACAGAGACCCTAAAAGGAAGCCACTTTACCCGCTGAACATAATTTGTTTAGAAAACAAAAACTGAAATAAACCCTGTCAACCGAACCTGTTTACAGGATTGCTGTCCCATATCCAACTGATTCATTTTGCCTGGCCTTACCTAATTTTATCTTTGACAAGCACTTTAAATAGCGTGTGTGGATTTTCTTGATGTTTAGTATGGATGCATCATAATAGGTATAGACATATAAGCTAGGCACAGATGTACATGCAAAATCAAATATGACAGCCACACTTACCGACAGAATGCTCCAATATCTTCCCAAAGACGACTCCACCGCTGTATACAGATACCACAAAGATCCAGGCAGCAGGATTCATTTTCCAGTCTCTGAAATATTTTTGTTTCACGGAAACAAATATTCCACCCTTAAGCTTAAATTTGTCTTCGCTTAGGTTTCCCACTATTCTGCATCAGATCGCCCCCAATATCCACCGACGAGTTCCATTTCTGACTGCCACTTCTGCTAGGCTTTTAAGTCGTAATTCCTCTGTAATGCGTGGCGGATTTAGAATCCGTATACCCAAATGGCGTGGAATGCGTTAGTCCTAAGACTTTATTATAGGGCTTTTGTGTTAAAATGATTAATCGGATGGATTCTCGACTCCAGAGATTGCCTTAATGGGTCGCTTGCTGTCACTCCGCGAGGCATATCACTGTTCCTTAATGACAAGACCAAAAAGCTTTCAGGGTTTTTTGACACTGTTATTTTTTTTACCAAACTAATACATATTCAATAAGCGAGTTGATGAAATATATGCGTATCATTTGCTACATCAATTGAGTCAGAATGGTGAGAAATAGATATACACGACCGATTCGGTAAATTGATGTTGATGAAAGCTAATAAGCCCGATGTTTATAGTGAACAAGGCCTGAGTATTGGTTATTAATGTAATTACTGACCATAGTGGTTTTACAGCTGGATCGACTACAAATGTAACAACCGCAGAAGTTTATACCAGCACTGTCAGAGTTTTATGAGTAGTAACAGAAAACATGGCATAATCACATTTTAATAAAAAAAAATGGCTTTTGTTGCTTTGTTCAATTATCAAATTTTCACAAAGTTTTTAGGAATTTGTTAATGGAATAGAGAAAACAAAGCAATTAAAACTGCATGCATCGAGAAGGTTCATATATGTTAAGTAATCTTAAGCTTTTATCGGGAACGTGTGCAAATCGTATTTCTCTTAAATGTAAGCACTTCATGTTGAAAAAATCTCATTTAATGGTTCATTAATTCTTATACCGGCCTTTTAGTCTTCTCAATCAATTGCATAATGGCAGAGCTATTCATAAAGCGTTAAGTGTATTAATGTTGTCTAGAGCATTTGTTTATTTGCTATTTTCCAGTGTAACGGTTAGATACGCAATTCCAAGAACATGACTTATGGCGTACTTTACTTTTGCGGTAATAGCATATGATGCACATTTAATAATTTAGATGCTAAAATCTCTTTACATGCTTTATTTTAAGTGTAAATGGAAAGCGGTATAGTAGGAAAAAGTGACATTATATGGCTTATTATTATATCCATGAACGATAGGCGTTGGTTTGTATGTAGACCTAATATCTTAAAAAGTTCTTCACAATTTTTGGTCCAATATTCAGGAAAGACAGGAGGGTAATATTTAACTGAACCCGGATCTCCTAATATTTTTTTAAAATAATTAAATTTCGATCTTATTTTATAAATCACATGGCGAAGGTTTGATCTCTTGGTGTGTTCTTTAGTCTAAATAATAAGCATCCGTTGGACAAGCGAAATATATTCTTCAGTCGATTTGACAACACGAGTACGGCCATGTTTGCACAGCTATATGTACAACAACCTGTTGTCGATATATGCTTATATGTTCATATAGCAGTATATTTTGTTCACTTGTGATTCTAAAGGATTGAGATCTCGACAGGTTCCGCTCTTATGGTCAAGTAAGATCGGGACTAGAAGAGTGGAGTTGTCGCTGTATATTATATATGACAATGTAATCAAAATTCCTTTCGTCCATATAGGTCTCCATGGACGAAAAAACACAATTTATTGACGTATCAAATAATCACAATAAAACGTTAGGGTATTCAATAGGGTATTTTTTTTTGACTGTCCAAAACCCCACCTCGCCCCATGCGCCATCACACCATGCGTTAACCGGTAACGAAGACGATCAGAAAGCCATTCATTTAGATAGTTTTAATGAAGCTTAGAAACCCAATCAAAAATAACTAATAATGAAAACACTCTTTTGCTTTCATTGCTGAATATACAGGACATAATTTTGAAAGAAGTCGCTTTATATTAAGAGATGTCTGATGAAAGAACAACACTGGTAATGTAACGTTTTTCCAGCATCTTAACGATAACAAGTAATGTACCCAGAAGCTTGGGAAATAAAGCCACTCCGTCATTCTGCACCGTGGTATTGATGTCAACTGAACATAACTATATCAATGTTTCTGCTCCTGACACCAACTGCCTCACATCGATAAACCGGGTCCATAATTGAAAATCTTATTACCGGTTATGGATTGAACATGACTGTTCGACTAATGGTCCCCATATTTTGCAAATCACAAGCTAATGACAAGAACAACGGGGAATAAGCTGGAAACCAGACAAAAGGCTTATTACATAGACCTACACTTGTCCGAGAATTTGAGAATTTGAGCACAAACGATTTTCAATATTACAAGCAAATGTCTGTTGCCGAAATACAATAACTTGCATTATCAGTTAGATTCAGCGGTCCTTATTAACTGGTCGGAAACCGTTTTTGACATGTGTTGAGATACTGGGGCGCAATTTCGTGTCCTTATCTCAGTCTTTTATTCAACACGAGAAGATGAAAAGACGCGATTTCCAAAACAGTATCTTTTCATGACACATGGTAAAGGCTACACTGCGTCCTTTTGATCATTGTTTACTGTCTTTGTGAACGTTTTGCAAGACCTTTAATGTAGCATTACCAAGGGACAAGTTGCTAAATGCATTATCTTTATGTATAATTTAAAGCAACCGCGGATCCATTAGCTCGTTTTCAGACGTTCCACAAAACGCCAGACTGCAAGAGCTACACAGGTTCGGGGTGTCCTGGTAATGCTTTAAAAACCAAATATGGACGATACATATATCATAACACTCACTGGCATTTTTACTCATATATGCTGCGTGAATAATGTAGAATTGCAATAATAATTTTTCAGATTACAATTTATATCCAACATTTGTTTTTAGGGTATTTACATACCACAAAACTGCATGTATGTAATGTATGAACGTACGAAACGGCATGCCTATTTTCAATCCCTATCATTCGATTTCACTTTATATTTTGTGTTTTTTTTCATAACCTTTTTTCACTAAGATTGTGATGAAGAGTTAAAGACACTCTTAAGTATCAAGAACATTAAAACCCTGCGAGAATACCTTGTTGGTGAAACAGCTAATGAATACACATATACAAGTAAAGCCTCCAGCGTTTTAAGAGTAACTTAGAATAGTTTTATCTAACTGATTGCGAAATTATAAATGCTTGCTGCCTTGGCTTAGCGTAAAATGTCCGAATTACATCGTATTATAAGTAGGTCTACTTTTGGGATATGGGTAGTGCTAAACAGGTTTTTAGATCTCGGGTTAAATACTTACTGGCTGATTGACACAATTTATCAAGGACAACTGCGTCCATTTCTGGCAAAAGCTACACTCCATTTATTCTTTAAATGGGGATTAATCAAACGACACTAACGGATCTGACCTCAGCTCATTTTTTGTTACAGAAGGGAACTTACTTCATAGCACACTGTCTTAGACCTCTCAACACTCTTCAAAATAATATCTAAGTGAATGACTATCCAACTTATCAATTCAGTATGAATTGTGTAGATTATTGTTATGTTTTTATTCGCGTGATATCTATATCCGATATCTATTCATCAATTAACTGTAATGTTCTTTATCATTGTTTTATTTTTTAGAAAAACTATGTGCTTCATCGAAAAATATATTATTGGGCAGTCTTTTGGGAATAAGATTGATTGAGGAATGCGAAGGAATCCTAAAGTCGATTACCTCGTTACATTCAGTACATCGCTATTTCTATGTAAATTGGAAAAAATCTCGTTTTCTTGCAGATTGACACGTAATCACAGTCCGATTTGCGCTCTGTATCACTGTGGGAAAGAATGCGAGGAGTTATGACCTGTGAATAATCCTGCTGCTTCTAAGTTACATTACAATCACTGGAGCCGGAGATGAAGATTTCCACAGACGTCATTCCTTTGCTATTAGTACGGTGGAGTACTAGCCACCAAGATTTACCGTCTCAGAACCTGTGTTCATTTAGTATGTGTCAAATTCCAAATGTACTCCGACTTTGTCCTTGGCTGGCAGGAAACAGAATATAAAGATGTAAAGAACCAGAGTATGCAATAGAACACATTGCATGTGGTGTACAAAAGTAATTAAAGATAAGTTGTGAGGCTCAATTTACCGCAATGAAGACAACGGACTATTGAAAAACCAGGACTTTTGTAAAATGTCGCAAGCATGGTGTTCACATGTCTCAATACAGTTGCCTATTGCGGGGCATTCGTTTCTAAGTGAAATCTCTGTCAAATATCTGTCTTTTCTGAAGCAAAATTAAATGAGAATTCATTTTACAAAGCACAAGAAAATGCTGTTCATAATCATGTTTATTTTATTATATCTTGTTTATTATATTAATAGTAATAATGAGTTTACAGACTAAAACATTGGTAATTATATTTAGTCTTTTTTGGGATACGGGTCCAGTGCTAAAGTATACGATCATGGTCTAAAACACAATATAATTTTGTACTCGTCATGAAAAGAAATCGCTATCACAACCTAATTGCGATATGAAGTTTATGGATATATACATGTAGTGAGCACTTCAAGGTGAATGTGTTCTATATTTGAGACTTTTACTTCGAAAATCCATTATACTTTGGGAGAAATAGCAACATGTTGATGGTATCTGAGCGAAAAAATTAACAACAAAAGGCTTTCAACTAATCACAGTACTAAGCACGTTTCCCACACCCGGAGTTTCAGAGGCTATTGGGAGCACAGGCCTATTTTCATCTTGCAATTTCCAAATGAACAAGCAGGGAGAGTATGCTTAGGGCCTACGTGAGTCATCATCTATTCTCTAGAACTCATGGTGACAAATATGCCACCCTTTGCCTTCTTATATTCCTTTGGAGGTAATTGTAACCTCAAAAACCATAAATGTTTTATTGTGTTCAATTTCCTTCCTGCTTCAAGAAGACACCGAAATCTGCTGACACATTCTGACACAGGGAAAGCTACTAAGACTTCACGGCGCCTCAGAATTTCAAAACATAAGCAAAACAATTTATCTACAAAGTGACCTCAGCAGACCATTATCTGCTCAGGGGGTTCTTTGTTCTTTGACAGCAACTGTTTGAATCTTGAGAAAGACGTCTTATTTGTTTATAGATTCCATTCTTCTTCACATATTCTTAAGGGTAGGTTAAAAGAGGGCTTTAGGGGGATCGAACATTCTATTATTTCTCTCTCAAATATGAAATACTTCCCATATACTCTTGCTTAGAAAGACGAAAACCTTCTTGTATCAGGTATTGTGAATGGACTGCCCAATGTGTTCTTGTATTGACAGCGTCGTCTTTTGAATTCACATTTTTCTTGGCTTACGGGTTTTCAAAAACGATAGTAATATAAAATGGGCCCGTCAGCTCTTAATCACGTGATCAATGTTATTTCCTTTGCCGTGATATATACAGAATACACACACTTTATTTATACTGTACATCTACATGTGTGTGTGTATACATTATATTATGTGAAAAACATGAAATGCTGAAAGTGCGAAATTCTACGATAAAAACGTCTTAATCTCACCCGAGGACGTGTCCTATGATCCTCGATATTGATGGAATTGCTGCTCAAACTAAATCAAACCCTGTCCAAATTTAGCCAACTAAATGTCGGTCAGTGTCCTAATATGTCTTAATATAAACGTTCAATGGGTTAATATGCTTAAACGTTTTCTCTATACGTGAAAAATACCCCAAATAAAAATGTACCCAAACATATTCAATTCATCCTCTGTAAGTATAAGAACCGCATTGAAATGGCGTAATTGAACTGAAGAGAGGAGTTACATTAAACGTCCCCTTCAACGGACTTCGGCAATTTTTGTTTCAAACTTGGGTGTGAGTATTTCCAGCGTCTGAGTAACCGTCCAAAGTGATCAGTTGTGCCGATGGGGTGGAATATGTATACTGAAATCGTACAAAAACGGACACACATTTAAAAATAACCAGTGCAAGTGTACTATAAGAACAGATATTCTATCTTCATTTCTCACTCACGATACGACATGTTTTATCAAATGGATCAATTCTACAATTACACCAGTTACCTTGTTCAACAGCTAAACGTAAAATAACCCAGCCCCCATACCTTATATACGTCAATATCCCTGTCTATCAAGTAATACTCACCGTGGAGACAGATTTATGAACTGGGGATGCGTCCGTGGCCGGTTCCTTTTCAAGTCTACCTCGGACTAACAATTGTGCTTTAGTCTTCATTTCATCAGAAAATGTAATCTGAAATATTAATTAGCTTACATAGACCGGCCTTGTTCAGTGCGTTGTTGCGAAAACTAAATTTGTACAAAACAGGAGTGCATTTTCAATAAAAAAAACTACAAAAAGAATATGTTTACTGGCATTTTACGCCGCATGTTTTCACCATTATCCTTAACGTTTCTCTTACTCACATTGTTAGACATAGCATCAAGTTTGGTCCTGTAGAATAGCTCCATGATGGACAGAACTAAGGCCAGCCCCATACCACCAAGCAGGATTAAAAATATTCCAGCAATCTTCACGATACTCAGCGCAGCACTCGATGCTGGGTCGTTCTGAAAAAAAAAAACAACCAGGGGAAAATGCATCTTAAATGTGTGCAAGATCATCATTAGAGAGAGAGGGGTGGGGGGAATGGGGGGGGGGGGCAGAGGGCATTACAGAAATGAATGGTGGCGTTCACAATATGTATTTTGGTTATTTCGGTTTATGATGATCGAATCACATTTGCGATTTGTGCGATGGGATTTGTGAGTTGAATTTGTATCAGTCAGTATGGTAGGTACATCTTAGTTTTTAGTACATGAGATTCGTCTATACAATACCAGTACAACTGGAGCAGGTTTAATCTAATGCAATTTATAGCAGATCCAAGTAGTTCCACTCACTTTATCGCTGTTTTCCTTGGGACAAAGCTTTTCCCCGCCTCCCTCCGACTCCTCCCACCAAAACCTTCGCCTCTTCTCAATCTCACCATTCTCCAGAAGCTCCAGGACCGCCAAAGTCACGGAATCCCTGGCATAATTTAAGAGGATGATTTAGTAGAGAAGAAAACACGTGTATTTGTAATATATTCTGAGAAGACGATCGCCCATATAGCAGTGACTATCCGCTCACTTCATGACCAAAGTCTGATGGCAGCAGACTTAGGAATCTCTTCAACTACAAGGTTATATTGTTGAACCATTCAACCTACAGATGTACATACTACAGTTTTCACGACTGCAATAAATATGCGTATTCAAACAAATGATTTTTCTGTAGATAATATGAATTGACTGTGTTGGGCGTTTCCTGAGTAGATTCTTTAAGTTCTAAGACGCCCAGAATACCTTAGTGGCGATCCCTTAGGCATTCCGACACCATAACCCTTGGAGTCCAGGTTACTACCCACTTTCATCGTGTCACAAGGGTATCTGTTGTTCAGGTACTCGTTGACAGTGGACTCTAGTAGATATGCGTACTTTCCGTTGGACTTCCTCACTTTCTCCACCCCCTCTTTGTTGGACTTCACGAAGACGTTGTTGTCCGCACTGCTCATGTAAGCCCACATGCGCTCGAAGGTGCTGATCTTAGAATCCTACATATATGAGAAAGATTAAAAAGATGAGGAACACAGGCAAGTGAATAATAGAGCAATCAAAAATGCAGATACACAGCAAAAATGCACATACACAGGCACTCAGACAAACAACCATGCTAACAGCTGATCAGACAGACGGTTTGACAAACAGAAAGACTGGAATACAGACGAACAGGCATACAAACTAACTGACCTGGATGAGAGACAGATAGATGGACGGATGGACAGACAGACAGACGGAAAAAATACTTTAAAAAACCAGGCAGATCAATCGGAGACATTGCCAACCTGAAAGAACTTCTTTGTGCTTCCTGAAACAATGCAGCCGTATGCGATATCTGTCTGTTTGGCGAGGTCGTCTGCTGACTGGATAGGGCTGTTCATCCTAGAGACGGTCAGGAAAGCTGCTAAGTTGGCCGTGTAGGAAGAGATGATGATCAGGGTAAAGAACCACCAGACAGAGCCGACGATGCGCCCGGAAATCGATCTACGTAATTCAAATAAGAATAAGAATTCAATAAGATTTTTGTCAGATTAGGATAGTTCGTTGTTATCAAATGTACCACTGTCGAGGTGATAAGGTCCGACATTATCATAATGTGTGTACTTTGATGAACTTGTCATTTCGAAAAAAAAAACGCATATCTAGTCTCACAAGCTAAAGGAAGGAAAAATACAAAAGATTTATATTTAAAAAACGTCCTGGACAATGTTTGAGTCTTTGTTTTAAAAAAGTCATTTTATATACAGTTTATGTGAGGGGTTACTGTTACTGGTGTTTGGAATACTCCTATGGCCACACTTACTTTGGGCACAGTTCGCAGCCTTGCTGCATAAAGGCTGCCAGTGAAAACCACAGACTGTTGATGAAGTTGAAGTCATTGTGGACTTCGGGGTCCCCGTTGTCCTCCTCATTTTCCTCCACTACCCACTCACTGGCGCTGAACCGGGTCACGAGGAAGAGGACCACGCTTACCGCGAGATAGGCAAACGTGATGCACATCCAGATTTTATCCGATAGAGGGTCCATAAAAGAGAAAATATTCGGGACGATTTCCTCGGGTTTTTTAATCATGATACTGATCCCCAGGTTCATGAAGGGTTTTGAGAAGTCGATGAACTTTTCTCGGTCTAAAGTAATGGAGAGATCGGCGATGGCTAGATCTGCTACCTGCATTCGATAAAAGTTAAAATATTGAGTTAATCAAATTAGAGTGAATACATTTTCATTGTTTACCTATCTTAGGTCATATATTTCAACAACATGAGCGTAAAAACGAACAAATTACATCACGTAACCTCCATGTCACGCTTTACTAAGCACTGCCACAACTAAAACATTTACATCTCTTTCTACGCAATAATGAAAAGAATAATAATGAAAAGAATAATGATCAGACATGTCAACATATTACAGGTACAATTGCTGTTCAGTGAAAACTATTCTTTTTAGACGGTCTTCTTCACGCACCCCATTGATCAGTTCCGCCACCATTCCATCCCAGGGGTGGGTGTGATTCTCCGGGTCGTAGCCGCCATAATTCTTGTCTCCCACCAGGTTGATTGTGTAGTTAATCCCCAAGCTCTGAGCTAGCTTATCAGCAATGTCTTTACAGAACCCCACGTAGCGGTCGTTACCAGTCCAGTTGCCGCCGCCCGGTTTCGGGTCGGTGCGGACCATCATAAAGGGGGCGCTCTGGAAGGAGTTTGTATTAAGAATATTATGAACCAAGCTCCTAGCCGAGGCCGGTTGGGGTGTTAAAAATCTTTTGGTCAAAAAAGATCGCCTAGTTTCTATGTCTTTACTCAGGTTTAGTCAACTTAGGGGGTAAAAAGGTCCACTTCTTTTAAGAAAAAAATAACATCTTTTCAAATGGCCTGCTACAGGCTTGTGAATACGGGGGGCCACGTTCAAGGCTGACTTCAAAATATGGGTGTAACTTAAGTTCAACGTCTTTGATATAATTTGGGCACGATATCTATTAGCAATACCTTTATATTAATGGCTTGGTCAGCGTGTGTGTATATACGTCGTGCAAAATAATGACTGAATTAATGAATTTGTCATTTCTGATGACCAGTTATTAATAATCATGCAGTTGTATAATCTCTCTGAATTAAACATTTTTTCACCTCAACCGAAAGTTTTACTAAATCATAAGAAAGAAGGATTTATCTTCCCAAAATGTACAGAATTCTGTATTTTTTCAAGGTCATGACGAATCAAGAACAGGTGTCTTATTATTACAGTAATCTCCAGTCTAAGTAATGACCGGTTATCAAGATGAGGGAAGTAGATGATCAAGGGACAAGGTAGTAGAAAAATATCACGGCATGGGCCCTGTGTTTTCCAGGGGGGGTCAAAGGGAGAGATAATGATTGGCTGGGTACCCGCAACAAAAATGCAGTTCCAAAATTCCAGGGGGGGGGGCGCCCATATCATGCCTGTGTCGATCAAGCTTCTCCTTATCACGCTTTGCTTACCTCTATGGACGTTATCAAGTACGTCTTGTTGCGGACGGTGTTATCTCTCAACCCTGAGCTGTCTTTGGGCTTTTCAAAAAACGACAAGCGTGGCCGGTTTGCTCTGGGATTCGGTGTCCACGTTCCTACCTAAAAAAAGGTTGGAAAAGGATTGATGGTGCATCAGTTTTTTTTTTTTTTCAGTTTTCTGCGACAGACACAGCAGGCATGTTAAATGTATCTCATCGTGAAGGGGAAAAACAGTATTAACCGCCTACAAATTAATGATAGGAAAACTTTTCAGTTGTTGACATACACAATGATGACATGAAATAGTTTGTGACGTCATGTCTATAATTTCCTAGATACATACTTTCGCAAGTCCATGATCTATAGTCGTAGACGTCAGTTGCAGGGTAAAGTTTGTTCGAAATCCTCGGTCGTCAAACACAATTTTTCCCGTAAGTCCTTCTAGGCCATGCAATCCAACCTGAGAATTAACAAATGGTTGTCTATAGTAGAAAATAACGGGTAACAAAATTTTACTTAAAAAGTAAAGCAAATGTTGCTAATATACCATAAAAGAAACATATCTTAATCTCTACATAAATACCTTATATTCCAAATTACTATATGTCATAAAATTTCATTTACTGTTTCTTACACGTCGGATAGCCTGTGTGATCATCTTCCCTAGAGGCCATGGTGTCGGTTTACTTGGCCATAGTGCACATGACAGACGGAACGACCCATTGTTAAACATTTTCTCTTGCTGTTCTGTGAGGTTGTGCATAGCTTGTGTAAAAACGTCCACAGCGTCCATAGCTAGCGCTAACTGATGCTAAAATACAGACAGATATCACTCAGCTATGTGTAGAAACGATTGACATTTAAGTATTGCTATTTAATCCAAACGGTATTCTTCGTTATAGAATAACTATTTCACATGATATTGGAAAGAAACGATAAAAAGTTAGACTAAAACAGCTTAATGAGACCAATAAACAGGAGTCTTTCTTTAGCCTATGCACACATTTTTAGGCGTCTTTACTTACAGAAATCAGAGATTTACGACTGGAAACGAATCGCCCTTTCCATTCGTTAAGAACTTTCTCCATCTTTGGTGAATGCGATTCCGTCAAGTGGAACCCGGTGATGTTAATGCCACCATTTGGAAATTCCGAAAAGTCCAACTCGTTTATTTGCTGACATGGAGAAAATAAAATAACTGTATCATCTTCTTCAAACTGCATAGCAAACATTTTTAAGTCATGCTCATGTCAATGGCTAACATCGATCACCTTCTTTCCTATTTAATATATTTCTAAAATACACTAAAATATATTAAAGATGAAAGTAACTAATTTAATGTACCGTACGTCCGAATCCGTAAAAGAACAGCTGGTACATATAAAGAATGGAACATTAGTTCATCGAAAGGAGCATTCAAACGCGCTGTACGTACGTTTCAGAGTATATTGGAAACTAACTCCATGAGTCTCGTTTGAAAAGTGTGTGTTGGATAAAATGAATAAAATGAGATAAACCATCAGACCCCTGAAACTCAGGGTGTCGGAGAGTATAAATCGTGTGCAATTCAGTTAAATTGCTTTTCACATTGGCGTCTTACATGGATTTCATAGTACCATGTAATATATATAACGACTTACTAATGAAATAAAAAAAATAGCTACGAGATCACCCACTGTAGTTTTCTTTATGTACATTTTGTGCTTTAAAGAAAACTTGTTGATGCAAAACCATTTTTTACTTCTTCGCACTACGTTTTCATGCATCTCTCGTTGTTCTAAACACTCTTATATCTTATATCACTCATATATCCCATGAGAAACATTTGAAGCCGATAACCTGTTATTATTTTTCTCTCTTTTCATAACACGTGTGCAAACAGTGGACAGTGAAGAGACACATGATAATGATAAAAAACTATCTATAAATTAACTTACCAATCCCGCTATCAAATAATTGTACTTTAGTCGATATTGAGGAACTTCTTTAAACTGAAAAAAAGCACAATCTGAATACTTTCCTTAATATAACGGTGTTCACTTATGAAAAATGTGTAATCAAGCTGTTTATTATACCCATTCTTGCCAGTAATTATACAAGCCATTACACAGATATGTCATTGAATCATTAAGTTAATAGAGTAAATTAATCTCCGTCCAGTTCAAATTTATTCTCGTGGCCATGGGACCGAGAAAAATACTTATTTCAAGAAAAAACAGTTTGGGTCTATAAGTTGCCATGGCTGTAATATTGAATTTCAATATAACGAAAATGTGTCACATTGAAAAAAATAACTCATTTATCATTATCATTCAGGAATATTTTACGTATGGAGCCATGTAAATAGATGAGCATGGAGAATTATTGTCCCTTTTTCTGGATAATTACCCTCCTTGTTAAGAGAGTGTTGGTCTCGTCAACTGATAGGTCGATGATGATATTTTTGGTAGTGTCCAAGTGCGGATAATCCTTGTCGTATTGCGCAAGCGCCGCCAGAGCGTCCAACACGTCTGTGACATGCTTAAAGATGACCACGATGTAGGCGTGCCCTCTGTTGATTGCCCCTATGATGTGGTAAAGTCTGGCAAGAGCTGATAAAATGAAAGAAAAATATTGCAGAAATGTACTTATGCAGATTCATGTAAAATCTATAAATAATTTAAAAAATAACGAAAAAGAAGTGGCGATATTGACATTTTTTTCAAAATTTTCAAAATTTAGTTTATTTTCAATTGGATAAAGGTGCATGCACATATGCATGTATTCGCATTATAACAAAGTTAAGTTGCACACCTAAATGCCTTAATAATTCCAAAAGAGCTCTGGCTGTAAACTAATGGAAATGATATGCAGGCAATCTCGCTCATTGTAGCAATGATCGTTTTTAAGGGGTATAGGTGATCAAGGGAAAGAGTTGTGCGGAATATCGGTGAGTTGTATGGAAATTGGTACGACGCACGGAAACAGTGGTAAAACGGCAAAATCGTATGAAAGCGACGGTTAAATTGTCTGGTAGTTAGGGAGGCCTAGTATCGATCAAGAGAACCTAAGTTATCGTGAATTTTTCCATGTTTGACCTGCAAGCTAAGGTTTGTGTCTCATAAGAATCAACAGAGCTCATAATTGGCTTCGTCTAATCAAATAAGTCTTTCTTTTAGATCCTTTAGACAAAAATTATTGATCGGAGTCTTTAAAATATCGTTAGTCTACACAGGGACAGGTTCAATTGATATAATGCATTAACGACAAGGCAAAAAAGCGATTTGATATATCATTGCCTTAATGACGCTGTTTTGTTATTTTAGCAGATATATTTTAATGGTACGCCATTGTGAGGTCACGGTAGAGGTTGAATGATAAACCGCCAGCATATGCAGAAACAAGATAAGACTTGCGTCTTGCAGCTTGTTACATGTTATCTAGGTACCCGATAGTCATAGCCTGTAAATCTCGCTATCTATATTGTATTCGCTCTCTTCATTGCTTTGTTGATGAAGTACGACTTTTATTATGGTCATTTTGTTCTAAATCAATTCTATAGAATGGATACCTGAGTGTGAGGAGTAGATAAAGCATATCTTATTTTATATTTCAAAGCAGGTTACCGATAAGTCAAATTCCACAATTATTATTTTTTTCACGAAATTACTCATTGATGTAGTTAATTAAAACTTATACGGTAATGATACGGACATAATACTGCTTGGATGGCAAATGTCTTAAGAAGGGGACATCGGTAATTGCAATTTAACATAGGAATTAATTTTGAAATACAGTAGCTCATGCGGCCATAACCCAACTTTTCTTATCATCGGACCATAACCTTCCTTTGATCTCTACAAACTGTATTCATTTAGTCTACAGTATGTCTATTACCTTCGTTTGTTCTGTACATATAAATGGCCTCTTTCCACTCTTTACGGATCATATAATCTGCCAAGGCGTCCTCATATCGCGGCTGGAGGTGGATCATGAATTCACTCGGGGGACGGAACAGCTCTGGGGGGCTGGTTGATATGAAGGGCATGTGATACATGGAAGTACTGGAGGTGACGAAGTCGGCCGTGGATGTACTGTACAGACCAAATATCACTGCCACTCCGGCAGCCATCTGGTTACAGACTGAAAAATTACAGATATAGAATAAGATTGCTAAGATCTGTTATAGTTGCTATGTACATTAAGTTTTAAAATGAGATCGATGGAAAGGTATGAAAATGACGGTTTAAAATATCTGGCAGATATAGAATGATGTTGAATTCTGGCAAGGAAGAGAAATCACAATTTTTGCGAACGACCTGTGTGATATTCCATACAAGACTTGATAAGATAGATAGGAAGTAGTTTGCTATCGTAATAAATAAATGTAAGTAATATTCAGAATGACCACACAGCATACATGTATGATTGTAGTCATAGTTGCTGCTTATATCAATATAATCTTCCGCTATCCTGTTGAGGGTGAATTTATGTCCATCATCGGAATTCACTTTGCTTTCCTTTGCTCTTCGGTTCTCTTCGTCAAATTTAAATTGGTATGCTTGGTAAATTTCTACATTTTTGCTTTCCAAAAGAAGACCTGTAACAGAAAAAACTTAAGAATATAAAGATTTATTTTTAAATAATCAAAATTATAATAATCTACACACTCTGGACAATAGAAGTGTCACCCCTACTGAACCAATACTTTGGGGGAGATAAATGACTGTGGAATGATATGCTCCTGGTATCATTTTATTAACATATTTCACATAAAGACCAACAATACAATTCCATGGTACAGCGGTTTTATACTCATTAGTCGCATTATAAGTAGACCAGGCATTATAACTTTGATTACTCTGATTCAGGGAGTGACACTTCTATTGTCCAGTATGTGTATATTTACTATATTGTCTACATTGCGGTTTGAATATTACTTGTTTAGAAACACAAGAGTGACAACATATATTTTTGTCACAATGAGTATATCTAAATACTTTAGCCATTTAGCTGATTATTATAGCAAAATGTATTATTCCGATTATAACTTTCGAAATTCGATGCACGCTGCAGTGGATAGTTGCATAGCTTTGTTTCAAACATTGATAAAATGTAAAATATGGAAGTTTGACCTATTTATATTCTTATGTGTATTATTTCTTATGTTAAGTATACTATTTGTATATAGGATGCTCAAATTTATACCTCTACCTGTACTTAAACGCCTGACTTTGACTTTTCTGAGATCATCTAAGGTGAACAGGTTACTACTTTAATCAACAATTTTTGGTAATATAATTTTATATATCTTTTATTAATTCTGTTTCGTGTGTTGTTATAATCATCATTTTATTAATTGCATTATTAATATTATCAATGAACCTTTTAATTGATTAATTTTATTTATCTATTTCTTTGTTTGTTTTTTGTTTGTTTATCCATCTATCTATTTATATATTTGTTTGTTTGTTTGTTTGTTTGGCTATCTGTTTATTTATTTGTTTTGCAATTTAAAGACCAAAGCTCACACAGGGGATCTGCTGGTGCATTAACCCAGCAGTTGGCTTGGTCCATTAATGGCACATTACCATAAATTCCAAGTTACATTCCTGTACCATTTAAAGTGCAAGCGGTCGTTCCAGAACAAGTTCCATGATGGCGTGCTGTTCCCGAGTTACTGATTACTTGGATTAGGACACTTTGAATGCGTTATTAATCGATATATGATTTAATTTCCTGTCATTGTTGCAAGGTCAAACATATACGCTCACTCCATGCATGCGCCAGTGCCGATACGAAAAGGCGCAATAAAATTGTAAATGTGAAGGCTGAGACAACACAAATATCGATTTTCATCCTAGAAAGGACGCGTTAGAAAATATGTTATTCATATACAGTTAAATTTTGAATAGAGTATATCTTTACATCTTTACTTTCCAAAAAGAATACCTGCAGCAAACGTACGAATGTTAAATCTAATAACGCCACCATCGATTTCCCATGCTGCATAATGCAAGCTGAAAATGTGCAATTCAGATAAGAGTAACTTTTACACATCTGATGCACCCTTATGTCTATCGTTGACTCGTGCTTTTCGAGCTTTTATCCCCCCCCCCCTTCAATCAAGATAATAGACCGACGCACATGGCACAAACATAAGACTGGATTCGTCTCTGCTTGTAGACAATGGCAAGTGAACTGTCTATGATTTTTTTATGAAATGGGTTTGCTTTAAAGTCAGCTTAGTCGGAAAAGAATATATTTGAGAAGCAAATGATCCTCCTGCTTTTCATTTTATATAAAATACCATTTTTATTTTAATAATTTCATCAACATCTATCAATCATGTAGGTTTTTGCTTTCTTAAACTACCGTAAGTTGAAATACTAAGTAGTTGGTATTTTGCTATTTAAAAATCATTTCACCTGACATGTTTGTAGAATAGATATCAGTTTCAGCCAAACTTTAATATTTCACCACATTTTATCGTGGCAGTTCCTTTATCATATAATCGCTTTCCTAACAATACACAAGGACTCCAGAGACACATGTATATTTCTGCAGTAATCCCAATGGTACACCTAAAGCGCATGCGCAGTATGGGGATAACTTTTTTCTTATTCCCATGGCAACTCATTTTGCAAGTGAACACATCTGTGTAACCCGATAAGAAGAGACCTTAGGATGGTTACTAAGGAGAACTGCATTTTGCACTCAGTGTGTACAATTCCAAATTTGGTTAAAAGTATCCAGTGGTACCTTCTCAGGGTTGGACAAGTGAAAGCAATGGCTGAGTAATGGTATATGGTTACATCTGTACAGCGTTAAACATATATCAAATTTTGTACTTTAAGGTTCCATTACCCCTACTTTGCATTTAAAAAAGAAACTCAACAGTCTTTATGGTATCATCAAATGTGCCTGTACAATGTTTCATAACGTTGCCTTTTTATTTCTGGCAGCTGTACACTTTGTATGTCTGAAAACACCCTGAAGAACCTCACAGCGACGTCGAAATTTAAGTATATTTAAAACACCAGGGACAATGATGCATCACTAAATTCCATTAAGTAAAGCAAGAAAAAGAAAAACGTTCTTCTAGGTTCCGCTGGGATTCTGCAAAATATTGGCTGTCCTTATATTTTTGGAATTTAAGTTTTCTATTGCAGTACAGTTTTTGAAAATAAAACGCATCTCTTGCTCCGACTAAAGATATACACTATGTAATACAGATCAAGATGCAATACAGATCGGGATGTATGCATTTCTTAAAGAGCTACTGAAGACCGTCGCGTATGGCATCAAAATAAAGACGCCAAATGCGTCTCTTCTAAGGCAGTCACAGATCAACTTTTCTGAACGTGGGGTGTGCATAGCTTTAATCCTAATGTTAAAAGAAAGCGTGGTTGGTTGGCACCAGATATCATATTGGTCTTACATCTTTGTGCATGTATTATTATTGGGTTCCATAAATTATGGTCAAAATTACATTCACTTATAGATCTAAGCCGTATTGTGCCATAACGTACCCTCATTTATCATGACTACAAACTGAAAAGGAAATTGTTTTATCCATTTTTCACTTAGTGATAATAAAATTTATATGACGTGCAACTCAACTCTTGCCTATATGATTTTTGTCTGTTTGTTTTTCAGAATCTAACCAAATCACCAATATTTCCAGAAGGACAATAATATCTCTCTGGCTACGGGAGCGTTAGATTTCCACTGTGCTTTCCGTCGGTACATTTCTTGGCCTGTGCATTCGGGTAAATTAATTTCAAGATAATTATTCTTAATAAATGTCACTTTATATATTTCGCATGATATATTAGCCAGATGCCTCGCGTTCTTGATTTCCATCGTGACGTTTATGTGGCCACATATTATGCATTAGCCTTTCTTTTAGCAAGCAGCATAGCTGAGTGATCGAAAAAACGGTCCACTTAAAATACAATGCACAAAGTAATTTCTTGGGATTTTTTTCTAATTTTCAAAGATTGATGGACGAGTGCTTATTCCTGGTGTATTTCAAATAGCTATTCATCTCGTTGAATTATATTCCATTTCTAAGAATTAATAACTTTTATCTTACCTACTGGGATGTCTCGCTGTATTCTTGTCATGCATATATCCGCCGTGAATAGCAGTGTCAATGCAAAATAACGAGAAACCATTTTCCTTTGATTTCACTGTTACCTTGCAGTGCCGGTGGAAGGGTTGATAAATGTCCCTTTAGTCCATAAGCGCATTTAGCTTAATTTGAATTGCCCTTATTCCTTCTCATTCCACGTGTTTCATGGTTAATGAAACGAAGAAAAGAAAAATGCTGGGAGCTTCTTCTTGGTTTCCAGATTCTCCTTTGACAACTCGTATATTTCTCTCACCAAAATTAGTTCTACGGTGCATTCTTACGTCTTAAGAGCTCAAGGCGGATGCGCGCGCATTCTTAGAACAACTGTTAAGGCTCTCGGCAATTAACAGCCCATTACCTTTAAGTCTCAACGTCCCCAAACTCTGCATGCACGACCTGGTCGGACGCTAGAAACATCGTTACCGTCGCTGTTGTTGGTTATACAGTGGTTGATAGAGACTTTGCACGAACAAATCAAACACTAGTCGGAAAGATACACTCAGAGAGATTACAAGACTGGCTATCACCTCTAGTTGGGAGTTTTGATGCCCCAAAGCTGAGAAAAATCGATTATGACGAAAACTTCATGATCGAGCTTAGCTATTTGGATTCACCTTTTAACTCGAGTAGTTTTATTAATCTTCGATTTCTTCATACAAAAAAGGCTTTTCCTGTACACTTCTGTCTTTTTCTCGCTGAGTTCATGAATGGACTTTGATATCCTCTGTGCTTATATTTCACCAGAAGTTAAAAATGCTTGGTGCCTATTCGGATTAAAATAAACTTAAAGAAACGAGAGCGCTATCAGAGAGAGTGAAAAAGCGACAATGAAATAAGAGATAACCATTTATTCTTCAAATGGCAATACTTCTCCGATGACACACCAAAACTGAAAAGCATTATTCCCAAACCATTTGTCTATAGGACTCTCCATTGTTATTCGATTATGCAGCCATTTTGCAGAATATTTAGTTTTGGCAAGAGTCTCCAGACTACAAATGCGCCATACCGTGCAAATCGCATTATCCGTTTCACCGATCTGTCAGCTTTTAATGGCTTTTGGAACCTGCATGTCCCGTCGCTTTTTATAGATATTCAATTCGGTGGCCCAGCACATATACAACAGGGCGCAGCGGCAGCATTAATAGTGCGTAGGGAATATCCAGCTAAATTTTGTCGTCTTAATCCAATCACCGATGAAGAGTGAAAGACGCGGGCATCATTGCTTCTCTTGGGACTGGCTGCTTTCATTATTACTCCGGCTTGCTGACTAAAATCAATCGGCGCGGGGTGGCACTCGCTGCAACAATCCACAGGGCTATGTATTAGTATTGGTAGACTCGAGAAAACCAACAAGGCTTTATCAAGTCGCATTTATAAAGGAAAGTATTTAACTGTTTATTTTAATACATATGTATTATCTAACGCAGACTCTAGAAGAAACCACGTCCATATCATCTTAATTAAATATTCTATAAATGTTTAAATGTGCACAATATTTCTTCTTTGCGAGTACTAGTGTGTTATTCTTATATAAGAAAGGTCCTTAATTAAGCGTTAGAAATAATGTTTTTCTTGCTGTATCTCTGCCGATGCATCAGTTCAAACATTCACACTCATTGAAGGTAGAATTTTATTTCACCTTGATTACACAAAATGCAATTTACAGAATGATTAACTGGCTGTTATAAGTTATACCGCAATAACTGAATTGCAGATTTATTTTGCGTTTGCTTCCTTCCAACTGAGGTCATAAATGTATGCGATCTATTAAATCACTGTCGAGTTAGTAATTAGTTAACAGGATACCAGAAGAAAAGGATACATGGGTAAGAAGATATGACATTTGAGGCACATCTGTCATCACTTAGCTGAGACAATTTCTCGTAAATAAAGAGCACTTTCCTCTCCTGAAGTCAATGTTTAATTAGGAAGGTCGATAGTAACTTGGCCAAAGCCTTGAGTGACCCACCCGGGGCCAAAGTGGATGTGCAGATGCGTCTGCTTCATTATAGCCCGGTAACTGCCTACTGATCGATCAATTTACGCTGATAACTCATTTAAATACAATTACAAATTAAATTACAAAGAATAGCGATGGGGTGAAGGAATTACTATTGCACTATTGATTGCTTGAAGCTCCGTAGCAAAAACAAGTGATATATTCCTTCTTTTTCGTGGCACAATAAAACGAAGAGGGACACTAAAGATTGACACAGTACTCGATAGGAAATTCAGTGACTCTCATGCCCTCGCACGGATGAGCTTTTTACGGCAATTTTGAAATATCTTCTGATGACATCACGCACGTATTCATGCACGTATTCATCACGCACGTATTCATGCACGTATTCATCACGCACGTATTCAGTCCTTTACAGTCTAAGCAAGAAAATGTGGTTTACATCTAGTCCTCATGAGTAATATCAAGCAGGCTTTTCGCACATTGTCACTTTTTGATCCCTATTGAATAAGCCAAAAGAAAGTACATGTGCTAATTTATACATTTCCAGGGTATAGAATATAGCCACAGAGCCCTGAACCTAGATCTCATTCGTTCACATTTCCATGAACTTTTTGATGCTGAATTTATAAATCCATGTGCAATTCTGACGTGGATGAAGTGCTACATTTTTTTAATTGAGAGATGGGGTGATTTGACAAGTTATTTTATAAACGTATAGGTTTGCGTTTTTTTTTTCGAAAGAAATTGAAACAGTAACATTTAAAATATTTCATAGTGTATAATTTGGGCAAACAAAGTTCCCTTTTTATCTCAATAAGAGTTCATTTCCATTGAAACTACGCAGATCGATCCAACTCCGAAGGAACTCTCGCTGAATGCAATCAGCTGTACAGATTAACACGCCCCCTCTTGTTTTCAACGTTCTCATATCATTACCCGCTTTACTTTTTTCTGCACTACGCCAGGAGGAGGAGTGTTTATCCGTTAAACTGGTTGCATTAAGCGGAGTTAGATCGACCTAGGTAGACTAATGGAAATGGAAATGAGCCCTGAGGCTTTTAGAATGGGGCCACGTGGTGCCTCATCACGTGGTATGGACGCATTGTGCTAATAGGTCAGGGACACTTTGCACTGCGGATCTCACATTCAACGATACAACTATAACGGAAATATTTTATTCATCTATTTTATACATCTTGTACAAACTATACACTTAAAAGAGAAGAGCCATTGCTCTAACTTTAAACACCGGTCGGTGAAATTACCCTGTAAAAAATTACCTTTGACAAGAAAAAAAGAGATCGTTACTACACACGCAAAATCCAGTTAAAAACACATACACGATTATGTAATGTTCTACAGGCTCGTAATTACATTAAGTTTAAATTAAGTCGTTTCCTATTCACACAAATAGCTTTCAGAAATCCCTGTCAGAAATGAATGCTGAAGTTGATTATATATGGCTCCACAAAAACAGCTTTAACGTGTATGTGAAACGTTAATTCAATTGGCACCTTCATTTTCTCAGCCACATGTGAACCGAAATCTGTGCTTTAATTACGCCAAATCTATTCTATAGGATCAATATGAGACGGTGGAATTCTGCTTGCTCTTAGACGCACCTCTCACTCTTATCCTCTGAAATGTAGATACCTGTGTACCTAATAAACAACTACGTTGTCAGAGATATTGAATTTTTAGCGTTACATGTAGAAAGAACTGATTAAAATGACGTATACCAAATAAGTGAAGGCTAGATATTTTTTCCGTCGTGGTTATGATCAGCACAACGAGGCTGTAAATTAACGAATAAAGTAAATCTGAAAATAGCACCAAGATTCACTGTGTCATATCTGGAATAAAGTGCCAAAATATCCACTGGTCGACATTCAATGACGGATCCAAAGAACCATACCCCCTAATTGCTTTAAAAAGTACACCCTTCCACTCTTTTTCTTAATAAGAAGAGTCGTACAATAAGCGAAACTAGTCAAACCAAGCAAATTTATCCCTGTGCAATACTTAATATTACAGTAAAATTATCCTCGACAACGATTTGATTTGCCTAGCTTAACAAGGTTAAAAAACATTTCTTTGTATACCCCCACCCTCTTCTACCCTCTAAGCAAAATCTTGGATCCTTCAGTGACATTTACGTGTTGTCGCTGAAGTCTTTTTCTTCATCAAAATCTGATTCAGATTAAAATATTTCCGGAAATTCTCTAAACTTCAGTATCCGTTTTTCTCTCAGTTCCTCTGAAGGTTACCATAGTTTGTGACGGCATGTACCCCATCTGCTAAATGAATAAGAAACAAACTGTTAAATGCGTTATAATGTGGTATACATTCAATGTATTTCTTTTTTGTTTGTTTTTTTTTTCTCCTCAAGATCTTATCATAAAATAAGCGCCTGAACGTTACGACATTTTACAGCTCCTGTGTATATTCGAGGAAATGTGTCTTTAAAAATTATTCTTAGCTTAAATCAAATGCTGTAATGGATATTTCATGATATCAAAAATCCAACATTACCGCAGCTCCATAGGAAGGAGGAGGCGCGACACATTCTTCAGCATAGTCCCCTTCGTGTTCTCCTGGGCCAGCAATAGATAGCCGGGCCTTAGAGCGTACGGCGTTTTTAAATGAACCCTGCAAAAACATCAACAACTTGAAATAAGGATTTCTTTAGTTTTTCTTTACGGCATGGAGGGTAAACATAAAGCAGCTCTATTTCAATGATTCAACGTGCTTTGAAGTGTAATTCATCTTTAAATGTGTAATTTTTTCTGCGTAAAGAAACCAAAAGCACACATCAAGGCATCAAAACGCGCTACTCTTTCTTTCTAAAAGACGTGACTGTGAAATTGCCCAAAAATTCGAGCTGTTTCAGTTTCTTATGATGATCATAAAAAGGAAAAAGAGACTAAAAAATTGCAGCTAACCTTTGATCTTTTAGCTTCTTTTCTTGCATTGTAAAGGAATTCAAATAACGAGACCAGCATAGCAAGCATAAGTCCTCCAATCAGAATATAAAATACGCCTGCCACATTATTCAGTTTTAGCGGGTTTGTTTTGGAATCCTGCAAAATAACTTTGTAAAATAAGAACAAGATAACTTACTTACTGAAGGTGTCTTCAATAAAATGGATACTTGGTAATGTGAATTCATTATAAACGATATCTCGGCCATTAAAACAGGTGTATCATCAACAAAGAGCCCTGACTACAATAAATATACTGACAAATCTCTTATGC